TTTAAAAAAAAAAAAAATATTGCTACATAATATTACTATATAATATCAATATTACATTAATATTGTATATAGAAATAAAAATTATAAATCATCCAACACATCTGGTATCTATAGGGGATAAGAAGGAATTGAAAAAGAATTTAAGGACATCATTTCCCCCCGCTAGTTCTCTATATGGGGCCATGCGTATGATTAACTATAGAACAAGATGGTTTTTCATATGCTTCTGGCAGAACGTGTTGGATACTTGGTGTGAAATTATACGGGAATCCTACGAACTGATATGTGTTTTTCAGTTCTTACAAATGATCTAAAATAGAAAATTACAATTGAATTGAAAATAAATTACAACTGCAAAACGGAAAGATTTTAGCCGAGGCAAGTAAAACTCTTTCCGCAAGAAGAATACGCCCCGTGTGGCAGCTACGGTTCAGACGTAACCTCCCAAAGATACAACGGCAAACGTCTCTAAATCTGTAGCACACCAGATTTATGAGTTTCGGCGAACTGGAACAGAATCGAGAATTGAGAACTTAGAAATAAAAAAAAAATATTATGAAACAAATAAAAATATCATTTGTTTCTTTTCTTTTGATATTATTATATCCGATATTTGGATATATATATTTCTTTTCTTTCCTTTCTCTTTCTTTCTTCTCTCTTTCTTTCTTATTTTGGTGCATTTTTCTTCATACATCCCGAAGCCTATTTAGAGGGAGGGATCATGTAACAAGTTGGCCAATTTGCCAATAAATTGAAATCCCACTTGCAATTTTTTAATATTTTTTTTTTTGTTTAAATTATCAATTGGGGTGGTGCATGTGGGGCGGCACCGCCCCTTTATTATATCTTCTTATGCACCGCCCCTTTATTATATCTTCTTTCTAACATTTCCCCACAAAAGAAAAAATAAAGACATACACATATATACAAACTTTGTGCTCAATCCCCACAAAATTCTATTGCATCAGAAAATGTAGCTTGTGGCTTTGAACGTTTCTTAGTAAACATCATTGGATATACTGACGGCCTAATGGACATAATACCTTGAACTATTCCTCCATAGTGTACATCAAGACAATGACATTCACACAATAGAGTCTTAACTCCATTTCGTTCTAACGTTGTGTTCGTTTTGGCCATGGACAACACAATGGGTTCATAAGTGTTTATAATTGAAGCAGCCCACACTTCACACTTATATAGGTGACCTCCCTATCAAGAGTATCATTTCTTACTCCACCTTTACAAGGTTAGGGATTCATTAAAAGTCCATATGACTTACCCTCACCAAGTGCTCTAGGGAATAACTTTGGACATTCATATGTTCTAAGTGCTCGACTGAACTTTCATAGCTTAGTTTTGCCTTTGAACCAAGTTTGTGGGATCTCCACTCAGCATGGGTTACTACTATGATTATTCTTTACATTGTGGATTTGTAAGCTCATTCCCTCTAGCAATCTTCCCAATTGATCTCTATTCAATACTTTCGTTAAAGGATCAGCCAAATTTCCCTTAGACTTCACATAGTCAATAGAAATAACATCATTTGTGATCAATTGGCGTACGGTCTTATGTCTACGACGAATATGTCTAGACTTATCGTTATACAAATTGCTTTGCGCCCTACCTGTAGCATCTTGGCTATCACAGTGAATCATCACAGGAGGCAAATTCTTATCTCAATATGGAATATCGAATAAAAAATTTCTAAGCCACTTAGCTTCTTCACCAGCTTTATCTAAAGCGAAGAACTCTGATTCCATCGTTGACCGAGCAATACACGTTTGTTTTGTGGATTTCCAAGAAACTGCACCTCCTCCAATACAGAAAACATATCCGCTAGTGGAGCGAGAATCTCTCGAATCTGATATCCAGCTTGCATCACAGTACTCTTCAAGTACAGCTGGATACTCGAGTATTTTAGCCCGTATTCATGAGTGTACCTCAAGTACTTAAGTACCCTTCTCAAAGCATTCCAGTGCTTATGATCGGGATTGCTCATAAATCTGCTCAACTTATTCACCGGATAGGCCAAGTCTGGTCGTGTACAATTCATCAAGTACATCAAACTCCCTATTATCCGTGAATATTCCAACTGAGTCACTGGTTGACCTTTATTGACTACCAGATTTATACTTAGATCAAGGGGTGTCTTACACCTAGACTGTGCACCGTTACAGGTATCAAATTTCTTGAGCACTTTCTCTACATAATGAGATTGTGACAAGACAATTCCATCTTGGGTTCTGATAATCCTTATTCCAAGAATAACATCAGCCAAACCCTTATCTTTCATGTCAAAATTTCACTTCAAAATCCTTCTCGTATCCATGATCACTTCATGGCTACTCCCCATGATCAACATATCATCTACATATAGACATACAATCACAAATGTATTTGATGTACTCTTGACATAAACACATTTGTCACATTCGTTGATTTTGAAATCATTTGACAACATCACGTCATCAAATTTCAAATGTCATTGTTTCGGAGCTTGTTTCAGTCTGTACAAGGATTTGATCAATCTACACACCTTTGTCTCTTGTCCAGGTGCAACAAACCCTTCAGGTTGTTTCATGTATATTTATTCATCCAATTCACCATTCAAAAATGTCGTCTTGACATCCATTTGGTGAATCTCAAGATTGTGCAAAGCAGCAATCGAGAGCACTCATATCGACGCTAAATGCGTAACTGGTGAATAGGTATCAAAGAAATCATACCCTTCCTTTTGTTTAAAGCCTTTGACCACCAAACGTGCTTTAAACTTATCAATCGATCCATCAGCTATATATTTCTTCTTTAGGATCCACTTGCATCTTAAAGGTTTACAACCATTAGGGAGATCAACCAACTCCCAAGTATGATTTTGTATAATGGACTCGAGTTTCCTATTTACAGCTTCTTCCCAGAGTGGTCCATCTGGGCTGGGCAGAGCTTCCTTAAGGGTACTAGGTTCATCGTCCAACATGTACGTAATAAAATCAGGTCCAAACATTTTAGCCCTTTTTGCCCTTTTACTACGTCTTAGTTCTTCATTAGTACCCTCTGGTACAGAACCACTAGCAGTTTCATACGTTCATTTGTCAGAACTAGATTCTGTCATTTCCTTCAGAGGAAAAATATTCTCAAAGAATATAGCATTCCTCGACTCAATCGTGGTACCCACAAATAACTCTGGAGTTTCTGATTTATGAACCAAAAATCTATATGTTGTACTATTGTACGCCACCCAATAAGTAGACAATCGACTGTCTTTGGCCCGATTCTCATCTGTTTGGGTTCAGGAACTGAAACCTTAGCCAAACACCCCCACACTTTCAGGTATTTATAAGACGGCTTACGATTTCCACATTTCGTAAGGAGTCTCATCTTTCCCTTTAGGTGGTATTTTATTCAGGATATAATTTGCTGTTAAAACAGCTTCCCCCCACATGTTTTTGGGTAATCCTGAATTGGCATTCATCATTTCTTTTAACGTACGGTTCTTGCGTTCATCTGTGAGTACCACGACTGTGGTGAATAAGGGGTCGTCGTTTGATGAATTATGCCATATTCAGAACATATTTGTTCAAAAGGAGCTACATACTCCCCACCCCTATCACTTCAGATTATTTTAATCCTTTTGCTGAGTTAATTTTCAACTTCGGCCTTATTGATTTGAAATGCTTCCACAGTCTCGTCTTTGCTTCTTTACAAATATAAGTAGCAAAACCTTGTGCAATCATCGATAAAAGTAATAAAATACTTATTACTCGTTATTGTTTGCACACTTTTCATATTACATACATCAGTATGGATCAAGCCTAATGGTTCAGTACTCCTTTCCACCGAGTGAAAAGGCAACTTAGCCATTTTTGCTTCAATACAAATTTCACATTTTGTATTTGTCTTAAATTTAGAATTAGGAATTAATTCTAAATTCATCAACCGTTTAGTTGCATTTAGATTTACATGTCCCAATCTAATATGCCATAAATCAGAGCACTCAACGGTATAAACAGAATAGGCTATTCATTTTCAACAGTTACACGACTCACGGCCATTACATTTGATGGGTCTCCTCCTCTGGAGGGAACCGGTGGAAATGGGCTCCGCTCTGTTCGAACCGCCGTTAAATCGCCCTCAAGTTGCAACGAACACCTGCAAGAACTCAATACCGGAGATGTTTCCGGTGAAGAGCCTCCGACGCTCAAGTCAGTATGAGAGTGATGAAGATGAGCTCTGCTCAATAGGAGCAGCAGTTGAGAAATGAATAGAGAATGAAAGTTAGGGTTTGGAGTTACCTCAGCTCCTTTATATAGAGACAAAGCTCTTACCTGAAATACCCAAAATACCCTGGCCGACTTACACGAAGTGTCCAAAATACCCCTATTGGTTCACATTCTGTTCACTCCTTAGTCAGCATCCAGATTTCTTCATATCCTTTGTGGTTTCACTCTTGCTTGGAGGT